AAGTACAGTACAGTATGAAGAGAGAGAACACTAACCTTGCTTGAGGAGACACCAAAAAGCTTCATAGCAAGTGTCTGTCTGCGACTGCAATCTCGCCTAGAGGAAGCCACAACCACGTGTCAGAGCAGGGAAGATGGCCGTGGGTCATGTTCATCACCCGATGCAGAATTTGCGAATGGAAGCAAAATTTTGCGAACGCTGCTGTTCGCGAACCAAATTGTTCGTGAACAGAAGCGTTCGTGAACTGAGGTATTACTGTATAATTCATTGTATATTGCATTTGTACATTGTGACATTTCTGTAGTTTTCTCAGCCATGGTGACATGGGGTTAAATAATCTAACTATTGATCATACTTTAGAAATGTCTAAGACACTCGTTTCTAAAAGTAACTAAAAATCTCAGGGAAATAGCCCTAAAAGTTGAAGTCATGTATCTGACTATTGGGAAATGGTTGTGGAGTTAGAAGCAAACAGATTCATGTAACATGGACTATGAATACAATATACACAGTAAACATCTGCCCTGAAGTTAATAAACTTTGGATATCTTGCAAAGGCTAATACTACAGTTAACTTAGAGAGGACTATTTATTTATTGCTAAGTTGAGGCAGAGATATACAGTCATTGTAGGGACATGCAAAATGTTATCTGCGTGTAGCAACCAGTTGTAGCCCAGTCTGTGTCTGGATTGAAATGTATTTGGTCCAGACATGGACCCCAAACATCCATTTTCCAGGCAGAAGTGTTTTAGGGTGGGAAGAGCAGGATAAAGGCAAAGCTATCAGCTTGTGGCTAAAGGGTGATGGGAAAGAAAAGTGCTGGGAAGCAGGAAGAGGTGTGCAAGCTGGTTGGATATGCTGCACTTGAATTCAGGAGCAGCAGTGGAGACGGTGGGGAAAGGAAGATGCTGGAAAGATAGGTGGATGAACTTGTGCATGTGGCACGCAGCAGTGGGTAGAAGAGAGGTCCTTGTTTTACTCGTCCTTTAAGACCCATCCAGATTTATTTTTTTCAGAAAAAATCTGACA